GTTGTTCTTTGTTTCCGTTGTTGAACGCCGCGCACAAACGTCGCTGTCGACCGGCTTACGTCACTTCCTAGTACACACTGTCGGTGCGAATGCAACCCTTTAAATGGTACTGGGAAATAGTTCGTGCAAAATCGTCCCAGTACTTTAGTACTGTACATTTAGTTCTGGAACTAAAGCGGTGCGAAAGGCCCTAATATAACTATACACATTTCTAACTGTATACATGCATAACTAACCATATTCTAACTATATTTATCTGTATACTTGTCTAACTATAACTGTGTATCTGTCTGTCTAACCATCCAACTGCATTTCTGTCTAACTATATCTAACTGTATTCCTGTCTATAACTCTCTCTATATCCGTGCATATATAATCACAGAACCTAATGTATCAGAAGTACTGGCCATATACTGTGACCTCTGTTCTATTTTTGGATTTCCTTTTCCCTCATTATACAAACTGCGAACAATGCTTCAACAACCCTCTATTAACTCCAAACAAACACTTTGTTGCCATGTGACCCTCAGAATGTTTGCAAAACCTTTATTTAACATTTAAAGATCCTCCCATGTGACCCACAGAGGCGGGACGGAGCAGTGCAGAGCAAACGTTTGCTCTTAGCCACACGATTGTGAGGATGCGTTTGAACAACATTGGGTAAACGTTCTTACATCGTAAAGCTTGTAGAAAATGGCATTTGCAGCAGTAGAATGGTACATGTATAACTAAGAATGAGCAATGAAACAATGCTCTGCAAACAGCTTCCACTTCTATAATGGTCTTGCCAATAACTCAACCCCCAACATCCTTTTCATCATGGTGTCGAGTCAGATTACATGATACTGTTGTCTCCTGTCTGAGAGGACGGAATGGTGTGTTTTTGATTACACACATGTTGGGTTTCCATTTTTATGGGGACATTCCATAGGCGGAATGGTTTTTATACTGTACAAACTGTATTTTCTATTGCCCTACACCAACTCTACACCTAAACCTACCCCTTATACGAAACTTTGTGCATTTTTAGATTTTCAAAAAAAAACAATTCTGTATGATTTATAAGCTTGTTTCCTCATGGGGAACAAAAAATGTCCCCATAAGGACAAGGATTTTGGATATTGTTATCTTTGTGGGGACATTTTGTCCCCATTACACGTGCTTTACCAGGACCACACACACAGTGCTGGGTAGTAACTGATTACATGTAATCGGACTCCAAAATTAAATACTTGTAATTAATTATATTTGAACCAAAAAAACATGAGTGTGGTGAGAACATAAATATTTGTCTATCTCTGGAGCTGTGGTGTGCCAACTTTGATTGTTTTGGTTCAAATTTTTGTGTGGTGGAGCACCCACATTGAGCTTTTTGCCTACTGGATGTGCGCACTTGGACTGATTTTTATTTTTAATTATATTATATTGCAATTTAAAATGTCATCGTCACATTAGTTACCTTTTTATAGATTACATGATTACATAGTATTATTGACACAAAGGCAGTAATTTATTCATAATTTGATTATTTTTTTATTCTCTTAAATTTTCCTTTTTAAAATTCTACCACTTTATATATTTTGAAAGTCTTCATTCATAGTCTTCAAGCTCATTCATAAACCCCAGTTTGGGAAACCCTAGCATAATGTAATGTTTAATACACTTCATGATGTTGATAACAAAGAATGGAATATATCAAAAGTAATCTAAAATTAATCAAAAAGTAGTCAGCTAATATGTGTAATCCAATAGAATATGTTACAAACTATAATTTCCATCATGTAATTTATATATACAGAGTAGTAATAATAAATATGTACGAACAGAAGAGAATTCAATTAAAACATTTAAAAAGTTGCCCGTTCAAACACTTTGTAACAAATTTAGTTTGTTCCTTTCTTTTGTGCTCAGTCTAGTAACAATCATCTTACTTCCTACTAAGGAAGGCGTCTGATCTTGGTCAGGTGATCCTAAAAACAGATTAATTATATATGGCTTCCTTACTAATCATTCAAACCCTAGTTCATACACGCACTGGTTGTTCCATTATGTTTCTTGTGAACTGCTGGCATATGTTCAGTGCAGACAGTCTTTTCTTACCTCTCATCCTTTATCTTCCTCTCACAGAACTTCTTTCCGGAGCAGATGTTAGCGTGGTGTCAGGAAACTAATGGCTCTATCCCACAATCACAGCTCTTACAGGTGAGGAAGAGACGCAGCAAAATCTGAATTAGCCCACATTATGAACCTGTGCATCACTCTTTTGCAGCTGAATGAGCATTTTAGTGGATTCAAACAGCTTTTGAAATGCACACTCATGTCTTGTGATACCAAAGAGGCCGCGTTAAAGCATGAAAGGCATCCAGATTTGAAGAGCTCATTTTCCAGATGGTCCTCTACTTTTTTTTTTTTTCTCTCCTGTACAGAATTTCTTGAATTCCAGCAGCTGTCCAGAGATCCAGGGCTTCCTTTATATGAAAGAAACGGGCCGCAAGTCTTGGAAAAAGCTCTACATGTTCTTGCGCCGTTCTGGATTGTACTGCTCTACTAAAGGAATGTCAAAGGCAAGCTTCTCTTTAATAGAATATTAATTCAAGTCTTTAAATTATACATGTATTTGTGAGCATATATGTGTTTTTACAACTATAGACAGCTGTTATGCATCTATTATTCCTAAATTTGCTTGCAAATAAATACAGTACAGTCCAAAAGTTTAAGTACACATTGAAAGCCTGGGATTTATTTTTTAAATCATTTCAAATAAATATTTATTAAATATGTTATTGTAATGTTACAAGGAGCTTAATTGTAATTGTATCACTATTAATTATTATTATTATTTACTAATATTTAAGGCCGTTTCACACTGAGCGTGATGTGAAAAAGCGAGGCGAAACGCAGATGAACGGTGCTTTCACACAGAGTACAAACTGATTGATTGCTAATTCACGCCTGCACGCTAGGTGGTGCCAACCAGCAATGCATTTTTCCTCCGATATGTATCTCGTATAAGGTCCGCTGCTCAATTTACAGCATTAAGTTTGGTTCTACACCAGAAACAAAAACTATCTATAACCCCATATGAATCAATTTTTTTCGATTCAAAAGCATTGTCACGTCAAACATTCGCACCGAATTTTCGCGTTCAGTGTGAAAAGGCTTTAATAGATATACCAGGAGACATGCAAAACATGCAGTGTTGGGGTGCCTCCAGGACCAGGGTTGGGAACCACTGCCATAAACAAACAAACATATTTATGTTAATGTGTCCCTTTTAACATTTTCTCAATTTGTAATGCGAATAATACAAATGCATCAAACTTGTTTAGAATAATGGCAAATAAAGGATTTCAGGATAACTGTTTTTACTGTTTATAGCCGTCACTATGTAGGTCTGTCTTTGTGAGTTGTATTGTGATGAATTTATAATTGGGTTGTTTAGGAGCCAAGACACCTGCAGTTACTGTCGGACTTAGAGGACAGCAATATTTTCACTGTGACAACGGGCAGAAAGATGCACAACGCGCCCACAGACTACCAATTCTGCATTAAGGTGAGCAGGATGCCGGTCAGTAAATTGACTTTGACATTGAGAATAGAGGAGGCATGGCTGGCACAATTTCAAAATCAATGGTTTTCCCCTTTAAATAACTACCCATGCCTCACCTGGTACAATGCATGCTAGTCCTTATTAAAGGGGACATAACACACACAGTTTCACCCAATCTCATATTGATCTTGAGTACCTATAGAGTAGTATAGCATCGTTCATAGCTCCAAAGAGTCTTTAGTTTTATCATATTTATAAAAGAAAATACAGCTTTCCTGAGCTCCTGGAGGCGCTCCGTGGGCGGCGCTAAAGAGTGACGAGCACTTGCCCAATTGTCAACAAAACACAGACATTTGATGCCGTTTTACTTACCGTCTGCAGTTCTGAATCATGACCGGTATCTTTTATAGCTGGGACCGCTCCATCTTTCAGTATCAAACGATGTGCAAATCCAGTGCCGAACTGGGCCTTGTTTATAAAACATTCGTCAACAAACACACTTGCAAAACTCCGTTGCTGCCCTGGAAAAACAAACTGCTTATGTTCACGTAACGCTGGGTTCTTTGGTAAGCTGGACAAGGTTATCTTTCCCTTACAGCCAAAAACACACTTCTTTGGAGACATTCTTCTCAAGCGAGTCCCGTTCAGTGCAGCCGAATGAAGCGCGTTGATGGGCACGCTCTTGCTCTCGCTCTGATCGATGTGTGTGCGCTCTTACGGGAGAAATGCCCATACAAGGAGTTCCACCCTTCATTACGTCACGAAGAGCCAAGCTCGAAAAACCGGAAGGAGTATATTTGACACAGAAATACTCGTTCTACATTCATACTTTAACAGTGTAAATAACTCAACATGCATGAAATAGCATTAGACCTTCCCTTTACCTTGAGTGCCTTGATTTGACAGTAGATATCTTGCTTGATTGACAGCCCAGTAAGGGCAGGACAGAACTGAAGGAGTTGAAGATGCTGTGTGCTGAGGACGAGCAGAGCCGAACGTGCTGGATGACTGCTTTCAGACTGCTCAAGGTATACAGTAAAAACAGAAAAATTATGAAATATTATTACAATTTAAAAGAACCATTTTATATTTTAATATATTTTAAAATGTCATTTATTCCTCTAATGGAAACGCTGAATTTTCAGCAGCCATTAGTCCAGTCTTCAGTGTCATACAATCCCCAATCCAATCAGCATGCACCAGATTTTTTTATTTTGTGTGTTCGTTTATTTATTTATAAAACTATTTAAAATTATTATTATTAATGAACATTCTAGATTTTCATATTTAATTACTAGAGATTTGTTGTGAACAAGCTGTCCCTCAGATATCTCCCAGACACACCCTTTTGTCCATTCTTGTTAAACCAGACACTTTTTTTTTTTTTTCCAGTTTGGAATTCGCTGAGAGAAGGAGGTTCTCATCCAGAATTTTACGGTGCATGGGTCCATCGGTCCTTCAATGCGGTGAAGTCATCCTGTACCCATAGCAGAGAAACAGCCCCAAAGCATAATGTTTCCACCTCCATGCTTGACTGTAGGGATGGTGTTCTTGGGGTCATAGTCAGCATTTCTCTCCCTCCAAACACAGCAAGTCGAGTTGATGCCAAAGAGTTCAATTTTGTTCTCATGTGACAACAGCACTTTCTCCCAAGCCTTCTCTGAATCATTTAGATGTTCAGACGGGCCTGTACATGTGCCTTCTTGAGCTGGGGGACCTTGCGGGCACTGCATGATTTCAACTCATTGCAACGTAGTGTGTTACCAATGGTTTGCTTGGCGACAGTTGTCCCAACTGCCTTAATATCATTAACTAGCTCCTCCTGTGTAGTTCGGGGCTGATCCCTCACCTTTATCATGACCATCCTTTCCCCATAAGGCGAGATCTTGCATGGAGCACCAGACAGAGGGCGATTGATGGTTATTTTGTATTTCGTCCATTTCCGAATATTCTTTTCTGGATTTTTTTGTTGATGTTCTGTCTCTATCCGTTAAAATAAACCTACCATAAAAATTATAGACCCTTAATTTTTTTGTAAGTGGTCAAACTTGCAAAATCAGCAGGGGATCAAATAATTATTTTCCCCACTGTATACTCAGGCAATGAATTAGGGTTTTTAATTTTGTTATGCATTTATAACAACATTTAAAATCTCTGTACAGAAACGGAGTCAGAGAATGAATGTTTTGGGAAGCCCCAGTCCTCTACATCCCTCGCCGTTAAGCTCAGGTGAGTGTCGCAGCATTTGCTTACAGTTTAGCACCTTCAACACTAGTTGATTTAAGTGGTATTTTAATAGAAATAACATTTTATGCCGGTAAATGTGGACTTGCGTTTATGTCCTCAGTGATCCACAGGACACAGTTATGGTTCCATGGCCGCATTATGAGAGAGGAGTCCCACAGGATGATTATGCAGCAGGGCCAAGTTGATGGGTATGACACTTTCCACATTTATAGGCAATATTAATTGCTGTTTTATAAGTGGGCAGTGAAATTAATCAGTCTTATGTCTCGCAGGTTATTCCTGTTGAGAGACAGCCAGAGCAACCCAAAAGCATTTGTTCTCACGCTGTGCCATCATCAGAAGATTAAACACTTCCAGATTTTACCTGTGAGTCCCTAATAAACACTCAATACAAACTACCCTATTGCATGTATTAATGCTTATTCAAGAATAAAGATCAGGGCAAACTGCTATTTTTTTGTCATGTTACCTTATACTTATAAAAGGTGTAATTTACAGCGATTACGTTCAGTGATTGAGAGAGGTACATGAGAATTTAAATGTTAACTTTTTTAGGTTACATTTATTTTAAAAATAAATTTAAAAGTTAAAGTTTTGTTAAAACAAATTTTATTTATATATAAATATTGTATATTATATATATTTATAATTCTGTGCATGTTAGTGAATTTGCAGTGTATAAAACAGTTTTGTAGCTGAAAATGAGGCATGATTTATTAAAGGAAATATTAATATAAAATGTTTTTGTTAATTATAATATTAGGCCAATGTGTACTTAGTAAATACATCCTTAATTACGTGTAATAAATGTATAATTTTTTATATTTATGTAAAATGCTGAATGTATTTAATATTTATATTATACACAATTTACATATATTATAATATAAGAAAAATAATAATATTATTTATATAAAATGCTGAATGTTTTAATATTGAACTATATATAAAATTATAAATAATTAATATAAAATTATATTAAATAATTGTGAATGGAATTTTGCTTAGTTTACCCCAATCACCTTAACATTATGCCACATTTTTATTTGTAAGATTGTCTGCTTGGCAGGAGAGTTTATGATTTAAAAATTGATTCAGTGATTTAAAAATCTATCTTATTCTCACTTCTTTCTCTCTGGCAGTTTGAGGAGGATGGCCAGGTTTTTTTTAGCCTTGATGATGGCTCTACCAAGTTCACAGACCTGATCCATCTGGTAGAGTTCTACCAGCTCAACAGGGGCGTCCTGCCCTGCAAACTCAAACACCCCTGCACCATGGTGGCCTTATGACCCCCTCCTGATCCTAACAAACAACACACACACAAATAAAACTAACTGAGAAACTGGATGCTTTTTTAAAATAATAATTTTCAGTCATTTTCACAATAAGCCCCCCCCCATAAACTGAACGAATCGGGACGGTCGTTTCATGTGGTGTGTCTGCGAAGACTTGCTTTGCTTAAAGTTACTTGATGACGATTGATATGTATTGTAATTTCCTACCTGAACATTTTGCACTCTCAAGCTGAAAGCAGGTGATCTGCTTCATCCTGAGCTTACCGCAACAACTGTTACCCATTTGCCTTCCTCCTACAGTTCACCGTTTCGTTTTTTGTCCTCTTCTAAACTCTTCCTGGGGATTCCCTGTGTAATGATGGGATTAGTGCAGCGCCGATGACAGTAATGACCATGTGAGGTGACACATCCTCAGCTAAATAATGTAACCCGGTCTTTCATACATGGCTATCTCCATGTCGGTGAGGAAGGACTAGCCGCAAGGGGTAGCAGACTTGCACTTCAATAAATTATACTTGAGTGATGTGCTTTACCAGCATAAGAATTAGTTACGTTTGGAGTTCTAATCAAGCTTTGCCTTAAAGGAATGTTCTGGGTTAAATATAACTTAAGCTCCATCGACGAGCTTCATCTGTCGCACACTGTTGATTACTACAGAAAATGTGCTTTGAAAAAAGTGTCGACAGTCACCTGCTTATAATGAAACTCCATTTTTCTCAATGAACTTGCTTTATAAGTGGATTTCAATCACCATATTCAATATTAAGTTTGTTTCCAAACTGTCAGACAAGTATTTCTGTCATAAATTACATTATGCCACAGAGTCGCACCATAGTTTAAAGGGACAGTTTGCCCAAAAAATGAAATTTGTCATCATTTGTCAAAATGGTCATCCTGATCATCGTTCCAAACGTGTATGACTTCCGTTTTTCAGTGGGACACAAAATAAGATATTTTGAAGAATGTTTTTGTCCTTACAGTGAAAGTCAATGGGGTCCAAAACAGCATTTGGACACTGCTGATTACTGTATGACTACAGAGTCATACAGATAAGAATTTTTTGAGTAAATTGTCCCTTTAAATTTGAATTAGCAGAACGTAGAAATCAGAGTTTAGGGCGCAAGGGTTAATAATTAACCATGATCTTTTGAGAATTATCCATATCATTTTAATCCAGATCACTTGTTCTGTTTAGGAAGACAATGGCTTGTTTGAGTCCACTGAATTTGCTATTTTTTCCTGTCAGGAGGCACGTATTTCGCTGAAATGCCATATTGATTATGCATAGTTTATATTTGGAACCATCAAAAACTTGACTCGGGCCTTAAAAAGCCACTGAAACTTGACCCAGGCCTCTCTGGTATGGTGTATCCCACCCTGAGCACAATTCAAGAGGGTTGTTATTCGTTTCCTACACTGACTCCAGGTCGTGTTACTTTGCGAACATACCTAGCTATTAGTATAGCCCTTAGCTATTAGTATAGTAACTGCCTTTTCAAATCACTGTGCTGTTCTTGAGCCATGTTAAACCCCTAAAAGTGATAGGCCAGGCCCGGACTGAGCGTCTGCGGGGACGTTCACGTACACGCTTGAGGACTATGGAAGGCCAAAAGGGCCAAAAACGTGAATTTTAACACGTCAACAACAGATTAAATATGCGTATTTAACGTGTTGTTGATGTGTAAAAATTCACGTGTTTTTGGCACTTTTGGCCTTCCATAGAGGACTTTGCGAAGTCACGTCTCACAGGCGTGTCTGTAATCCTCCAGGGCTGCGTGACATAATGTGGTGAGGAGATTATCTCCCATGCCAGTTTTGCAAAAGGAGGTTAGCGGCAAAAGGCTTGTGTACGGTTACCTGCGGCGCTACTTCAGCAGTTTCCTGTCTGTCCCTGACGTCCGCCTTGTTACCCTTCCAACACTGGCCCAGCAAGACAAAAAGACGTAAATCGATTTTGTAAATTGTTACGAAAAGTACAAGCTTTACTCATTCAGTGTCAGGGACACTAGGCTTTTCATCACATGTTAGATTTAGTAATTTAGTCACCGTTCTAGTCTGCATGAGTTAGACAAGGATGCCTGAAAACGAAGAATGTTCTAACTGGAATACGTAAGTGTGAACGCTGATTAGTTCCGTCCAACTCGAGCTCTAAGTGTTTGGATGATGCTTCTTTTCATCAGACTTGTGCTGTTGTGTGGCTCACAATGATGAAATGCCAAACATGCATGTGAAATCAACTTCCCCAGCCTTGATTATGCCGGTTTGGTAGTTTTTATTATTTTTTTATTTTTTTTAACACAGGTGACTGGAGATTATTTCACATGTGTGTTTGGCTCATATGCAGCTTTGTCTATTAGAAACATGGAAATAGTCACGCTCTTCTAAGTATGTGGAGCCTAAGGAGAGGAAGTAGATCTAACACTGTATTAAAACACCATCTATGACTATATAAATGTGGTGCGCTCCAAAACAGAATGAAGATGTTGCGCATAAAGTGCAAATTATGCATATTCCCTCTCGATTTGTACCAGTGTGAAATATTTTTAGCTTATATTGTGTTTTCATTTTTGTCACAAATGTCTTTTTATAAAGAGTATATATTACAGTATTAAATTAAAAATGTCTTGTGTTGTCTTTATTTCACTATATTGGTTTAGTGTTCAGAATGTTTAGATTATTAGATTATGCGATTATGCAATGAGATTGTCCAGTCTACAACTAGCTTTAAGATTACATCCAGTGTTTTTTTTAATTCAAAAGTGCAAGTATTGTATTAATAATAAATATATTCTTTAAAAGGTTGAAGTTTATCAGTTTAAGGGTAGATAGATAGATGATAGATAGGCTAGTTAGATCAGATTAGATAGATTATTATGCAAAAGCGGGCTCGTCCGGGATTTGAACCCAGAACCTCTCCCACCCTAAGCGAGAATCATACCCCTAGACCAGGGGTAGGCAAGTTCGGTCCTAGAGAGCCGCAGTCCTGCAGAGTTCAGCTCCAACCCTAATCAAACACACCTGAACAAGCTAATCAATGTCTTGAGGATTTCTAAAAAAAAAAAAAAAAGATCTACTGATTAATAGCGCCATCTGGTGGCATAAACCTGGAGTTACAGAGGTGCCCTTTAGAACAAATTAAAATAATGCCTTCAAAGTAGCAATTAGTTTGCGACATTATAGCAGTGTTTGAACGGCTGCAAATAATTAAACAGATTGATGTCCATGTGTTCTGAAAACTGAATGACATCAAAATATGACTACGAATATATTCTTGGAAATATCTTCGGGTAGAGCTGGTCTGCGTTAGTCATTTACAAAGGACTTTAGACATAGGCTAAACAATGTTGCTGAATTAAAATATTATTTTCATAGCATAACCGAGTTGTTAACGTGAACGCCAACGTGGTTCATGCATACCAGGTATGATTTAAAAATAAATAAATGAAAATCGATAAAACTTGACTCAAGGGAAAAACCGATAGATTACGCTACCTACTACTGTAAAACGTGAGTTTCTTTAATCTAGATTTAAACAGAGAGAGTGTGTCTGAACCCCGAACGTTATCAGGAAGGCTATTCCAGAGTTTGGGAGCCAAATGCGAAAAAGCTCTTAGTTAGAGTTAAGCTTTATCAGACAGAATACCCTTATAAATATGTTTAAAACGTGTGCTGTTTTGTTCTGAAATAGGACAAGGGCTGACTGAATGCATGATTACTGGTCTTGTAATAGACCAGTTACAGTATAACTTCATATTCTGCTTGATGTCAGCAGTGCAGAAAGTTCACAGGACTTTACCTTAAGGCAGTGGTTCCCAACCCTGGCATGGAGGCACCCCAACACTGCACGTTTTGCATGTCTCCTTAATCAAACACACCTGATTCAGGTCATCAGCTCATTAGTAGAGACTTCAAGACCTGAAATTGGTGTGTCAGAGAAAGGAGACATGCAAAATGTGCAGTGTTGGGGTGCCTCCGGGACCAGGGTTGGGAACCACTGCCTTAAGGTGTAGCATCAACTGGCTCGTTGGTCTAGGGCAGGGTTCCTCAAATCTTGCCCTGGAGAGCCAATGCGCTACAGAGTTTAGCTCCAACCCTACTCAAACTCACCTACCTGTGATCTCAGTGTCTCATGAAGAGGTTCAGTCTCCTGAGTCTCTGTCTGTTAAATCAAGAGATTCTGCTTCTATCAGCTGCACTGCATCTTCTGGAATTGGTTATGACATGAGCTGGTATCTGCTACAACCTGGAAAAACCCCTAAACTCCTGATCTACGGAACGAGTAACCTTGCATCTGGAGTTTCAGACCGGTTCAGTGGAACTTCTTCTGGATATCAATTTACGCTGAACATACGTGGAGTCCAGCCTGAGGATGAAGGAGAATATTACTGTATGGGGTATTATAGTGGCAGGTGCTCACAGTGAAACAGCATCGTACAAAAACCTCCTTTAGTCTGACAGCAAAGAGAATATGAAAATACTGAGAAGTTCACAATATCAGTCAGTTATGATATCATCAGATAAGTTGTGCTTAATTAGATTTGCAAATATAAATAGTACATCCATGAGATAATACACATTGAGGAATTAAATATCCATATTCAAAACATAATAATGACTTTAATGTAGCTTGCGCTCACTGTTGTACACTGGAAGCAGTTCCGGGCAGATGACGTATGAGTTCAATGCTGCGCATGCACCAGTGAGTCTCGTGAAAACCAATTTATTATACCAATTATACCATATATAACTCAGACTGGATTCGTCTGAAAGAAGAAAGTCATATACACCTAGGATGACTTGAGGGTGAGTAATTTATGGGCTAATTTTCATTTTGGGGTGAACTAACCCTTTAATTAGACTTTAGTTCATTATAAATGAAACATTAAATCCATGTGTCTGTTTCAGTATTCACATACTCTTTCATTCCTCCTTGTAGCATTTTGAGCAACAGAAGTAAAAATCTGTCCATGACATTTTAATTGTAATTTGAAATTTGAAATGAATTCAGCTGAAATGAACAGCCTATAGAGTAAGTGAATTTTAGCCTTAGGCAGGGGCGTAGCCATCATTTCAGAAGTGAGGGGGACAGAAATGTTATATATATAT